TTGTGGTGACTCTCTCCTCTCGATTTCTCGTATCTCTGTCCCACTCACAGCCCCCATGCAAGTTATTTTCCCGTGTTCATTTCTTGTTCTTTTGTTCGGTGACCCGGTGAGTTTAATCAGTGCCATCCGGTGACCTGTGCTGCCCTTGGGTTTTGTTGTTGATAGACTTAGATGGGGGACAGGGGTAATTCAGTCCCTAAGTATCCTGACTGGAAGCAGCATTCTCTGTTCTCATTTTAACATCCGTTCTGGTCACCTGTCTCTGCCACCTGTCCTGTGACTCCCTTGATGCCTTGACCATGCTCTCCCTGTCTAAATCTAAAGGGCGCCGTGCGGTCCCTGAGCTTACCGAAAAGCCAACATGCCTTTGCCAGCTGAAGCAAGCACTAGGCTCCAAAGCATACAGAGGGAAGTAAGCATCCTATACTGAAGCAATATAGACACCACTGGGAAACTGAAGTCTCACGAAGAAGCGTCATGGATCGTGTTGTGTCTCATTAGTCCTGCCAAGCAGAAGAGGGGAATAAAACAGAGGACACCGGGAGGGGACGCTAGGATCAGACTCGGCCTCGGCTCAGAGAGACTTTTCTTAGGGTGCTAATTCTATCAGTGCTTTATAAGAGAGGCATGGGTCCAACTAGTTTGGGAAACACCAGATTAAACAGTATCAAACTCACGGGCCCTTTAACACAAGCGCTGAGGTGCTCCAAGCAGCAGAAAGCAGTGTTCCCCCTGTTTGGTGAGAGCATGTTGAAAGGCGTATTTCTTGGAAAGAGCTTTAGGGAAAAGCACAGCATCTGCAGTGTTCGTCCAGCCTGTGCGTGGATAGCTTTAATTTCCACACGTGTCTGCAGATCAACCGATGTCCACCATGCTTAAAATGATTAGAAGGCATTGCGCTGGACCCTTTTGTTTTATTTTTATTTACTTGTTTGTTTTGTTTTTACATCCCTACTGCGATTTCTTCTCCTCCCAGCCACTCCCCCATCCATTCCCCCTCCTCTTCTATTTCTCTTCAGAAAAGGGCAGGCCTCCCATGGGTATCAGCCAGCTGTGGTATATCAAGATGCAGTGAGACCAGGCCCCTCCTCTTCTATTAATGATGGACCAGGCAATCCGGTAGGAGAAGAGGGTCCCGAAAGCAGGCAGCAGAGCCAGAGACAGCCCCTGCTCCCACCGTTAGGAGTCCCACAAGAGGACCAAGCTACACGACTGTCACATATGTGTGGAGTGCCTAGGACAGTCCCATGCAGGCTCCCTGGTTGTCAGTTGAGACTCTGTGAGCCCTTGTGAATCAAGATTAGTAGATTCTTGTGACGTCCTTGACCCCTCTGGCTCTGCGGGATTCCCCAAGCTCAGCCTGATGTTCGGCTGTGGGTCTCTGTATCTGTTTCCATCAGTTGCTGGATGAAACATCTCGGATGACAATTGGGCTAAGCACCAATCTTTGACCATAGCAGAGTGTCATTAGGAATCATTTCATTGACCTTTTCTTTTTTCTTTTTTCATTCTTTCCTAAGCCTACTCACGGCATAAAACGCACAGGAACCTGTTTAGAGGTTCTTCCCTCTGGACCTCTTTTACAGCATAGCTCTATGCCGTTTTGACCACAGGAGCTAATTTCACAGCGTTAAGCTACACCTGGGTCCTCCCTGTACGGTTCTATCAGCTGGCTCCGCCCACTTCTGATGGGTGTGGCTCGAATCTGAGCAGAGGGAATCCACCTGGGTAGGGGTTGTGGTCCTGGAGCAGCACCTATGGTGAGTTAGGAGGTCAAGGGCTGAGATGAGCCTCGGGGGGAACCGAATCTGGAGAGTGGGGGACAGTTGGCTGCCAGGAAGGTCGATCACCTGTTCCTCTGACTGGTTGGCCTGAGTAGCTAGCGGAAGTCAGGCAGAGCAGGATGCTGGGCCTGCCAGGGAACAGCCCCAGCTGGGCTTCTGAGTGTCCCAAAGGGACATTTACCCAAGGGCAAGAACAGGACCCTTGTACCTTAACTAAAAACAGGCCGCCTCTGCCAGGCCTGGTCCTGACGCTGCTATAAACGTAAGACGGGCAAGTATGCTGGTTCTTCCACGATGTAATCCCATTACGCTTCGGGAAGAACGGTGCTAAAAAAAAAAAAAGACACGGTGTGCCTCCGAGCACTGCCTGCGGTCCTGTCTTCTCTCTGGGTTCAACAGCAGCCAGCTTTGGTTGCTCGTGCTCTGGGGAAGGGACAAAGGGGTCAACCACATCATACACTGGGTTTGGGGAACCTATTGCCTAATTGGTGCCCAAAGAATAACTGTAACCCAATTGCAATAACGAAGCTTGGAAAGGTGAACCTCTTGAAGGAAACCTCACCTCAGTCCACACACCACATCGCATCGAGACCCCAGCCTGCCCCTGCTGGTTATGGTCTTGGTTCTGACTGTTCTCCTGGGGCTAGTGCCCTGGAGAGGGAGCTGTTGGGAGGTTGGCCCCGTTTCTCTGAAGCCAGTTGAAACTAGTTCTACTCCTTTATCCTGACAGCCAGGCTGCAGGCCTCCTCTCCGTCAGGACCCAAATTTCCTTCATCTTTCATGCCTCCACTCGAGCAGGAGGGTTACTGGACGGAGCTCTGTGTTGTAATACCTGGCTGCCATCAAAGTCCCAAGAAGGGGCTTGTCAACTTCCCCAGCCTTCCAGGACCCAGAGTTCTTAAAGGATGGATGGGTTTCTAAGGGATAGCTAGGGGACAACTACTAAGGCATTGCAGGGGTGCCTGTACCCACCTAAACGGTGGTCACTGGAAAGTGGGACACTTTGGGGTGCCGTGTGGTACCCTCCAAGTTTCTTCCTAAAGGGCATGCTTTTCTTTTTAAGGGCTTTTTCTTTTTCCATGTTTCCCTCCATAGCCAGCCCTCAGGGAGGCCGGCCCTCACCCTGGGGACATCCCATCAAACCACACAGCCACCACTGCAAGCCCCACAGTGGCCTTGCTCTCCTTCTGATTGTTAGGGAGTGTCTGCCTGCTTTGGTTCATAGTCAAAACCCCCGAGGACACAGGCAGGGTCAGACACCGTCCCTGGTGTGTCACACTCACGCAGAGACTGTCTGATGAACGAGTGAGTCGGGTAAATGAATGGGAACTGAGAAGGGGGAGGGGGTCCACTAAGAGCAGAGACGGGGGAGGGGGTCCACCAAGAGCAGAGACAGGGGAGGGGGTCCACTAAGAGCAGAGACTTACGTGTGGGAGCGGCAGGTGTCTGTGCAGGGGTTTCCAAATCTGCAAGTGCTTACGTTCGTCTGCAGTGGTGGACATGCATTGTGTCTGGGGTTGGGTGGAGGCTATCGGCAGCTGTAGGCAGATTCGGAACCTTTGGGGGGGGTTACCCGGATGTTCAATTTTATGTATGGATGCACATTTACAGAGAGGAGAGAAGTGAAACTCGGGGAACACAGAGTGACTTTCTACAGAGATGGGGAATAGGAGGGATGTGAGAGAAGGCACCTGGGTGGGGACAGCCACCCCGGAGCAAAATCTCTAAGCTGATGCTGTGTGCAAGACCTTGCAGGAGCACCAGCAGTGGCCTGGTGAGTAGCCAGGCCTGGTTGCCACAGTCACAGAGGAGGAGGGTGTCCTGGCCAACTACAGTTTAGGGTAAGCGGAATGAAGCGACCCCAAATATTGAGATGGATGGAGACGCTGGCTTGTGCAGAGAAGGGAGATCGCCCACTGAGATGGGTGTGGTGTGGTGTGTGGGTCCTGGGTGTGTGTGTGTGTGTATATGTGGTATAGTTTATGTGAGGGGTGTGTGTGTACATGTGTGTGTACCTTGTTCTAGAGTTAACCAGAAAGCTTGGAGATCTCAGGTCTCTGCTTTTCCACTTTTAAAACTATCATTATGCTGGGTGATGGCGCACGCCTTTAATCCCAGCACTTGGGAGGCAGAGACAGGAAGATCTCTATGAGTTCAAGACCAGCCTGGTCTATAGAGTGAGTTTCAGGACAGCCAGGAATGTTATACAGAAAAACCCTGTCTCAAAAAACCAACCAACAAATAAATAAATAATAAAACAATCATTACCTACATGGCCAACAGCTTGGTGTATAGTACTACACGCATAGCAGCAGTGGTTGCAGAAGGCTGGGGGTGTGGGTGGGCGGGGACACGTCCTCTTCCGCTCACACAATCTTTCTGTCAAACCATCTTCCTCCTATCATGTTTCACAGATGAACTCAGTCCCTTCTCATCCTGAGACTGCAATGTTATTATAACCCAAAAACTGACAGCACCCAGTTTCCCTCTTGTCGCTAAGCCTAGGCTCAGCCAGAGTGTAAGACAGTGTTCGGGATAGGGTGGACACCTCAGTCCTGTGGCTCTCACAGCACTCCTCGGATGGCCGATGGGGGATGTCCTGCATATATGTTTCTCTTATTGGTTGGTGAATAAAACACTGATTGGGCAGTAGCCAGGCAGGAAGCATAGGCAGGGACTGTCAGACAAGGAGAAGGCTGGGGAGAGGAGCCGCCAGAGAGACGCCATGTAGCAGCGGAAGGAGTAGCATGCCGGGGCATTACTGGGTAAGCCTAGAGCAGGTGGGAATACATAGATTAGCAGTTGTGGGTTAATAATTAAGAGAGAGCTAGCCAATAAGAAGTCTGAGCCATAGGCCAAACAGTTTAATAATTAGTACATGTCTCTGTGTGCTTATTTGGGGTGGCGGGACCTGGCAGGACAGAAACCCAGACTACACATGACTGCTGGGGAACTCCTTTACACATTTTCCTCAGCAGAGGCAGCAGCTGTGTGCCTTTTGGCAGCTGGCACTGCCGAGAGTATCCTGGCAAAATGCGAGTTCTTCTGACCTTGCTTCTACCGGGAACCACACACCCTGCTCCGTAACAAAGTCCAGGGGCAGACCCAGCTCCCGCAGGGCACAGGGACCTTCACTCCAGCATTTGACACTCGGTAGAGCTACCCCTGGGTTGAACCGTGTTTCCATGTCACCACCCAGTCCGCTTCTGTCCCTAGGCCATCTACAAAATGGTTTCCTCTGTCATGAAAATGCCTGAAGATGAATCGACCCCAGAGAAAAGGACAGAGAAGATCTTCCGCCAGATGGACACCAACAGAGACGGTAGGAGGCTGGGGGGCTTTGCCTGGGTCAAGCTATGGGTGGAGTCCAGACAGGGCAACTCTACTACAGGACAGAACGTCAGCCAGAAGGACCTGTCACAAGGCCACCTGTCCTGCGTGGGAAGGAGCAGAGGTGGGCTCCAGAGCTGGGTGGGCCCTAAGCTGTGTAGACCCCAGAGCTAGGTAGACCCCCCCTAAGCTGTGTAGACCCCAGAGCTAGGTAGAGCCTGATCCCCCAAGCTGGATAGACCCCAGAGCTGGGTAGACCCTGGATCTTGGTAAGTCCTGGAGCCAGGTGAACCCTAGAGCTGAGTGGGCCCTGAGCTGTGTAGACTTTGGAGCTGGTGAGCCCCAGAGTTGAGTGGGCCCAGAGCTGTGTAGACTCTGGAGTTGGGTGGGGCCCCAGAGCTGGGCAGGAAGGACCAGTGGCTGCATAGACGCCAGAGCTGGGTGGAGGACACTGCCCTAAGTGAACTGCAACTAGCAAATGCATAAACCAATGCAGTTTCGAACAAAATAGACAAGTCTGGCGTGGCAGTGACACAGGAGAACCACACGTTTGAGGACAGCCTGGGCTACTACATAAGGAAACCCTATCAGTAAAATAAGTAAACAAATAAAAATGACTGCTGCACATTTCGGCTGCCGAGTAGAATACAAGGTGTCCAAGCAACTGAGAAACAGTCACTTGTTTTCTGGCGTAACTACGTCTGTATCCACTATCTGGGACACACTTAATTCACAGTTGGACAACTGAAATTCAAAATTAATTTAGCATTTTTATTTTTCTTGCCAAACCTTGAAAGGCTCTTCAGAAGTACCTGAGTTTACGGTGCCGAGTCAAGGCTGACCCACACTGACAAACGCTTCCCAGCTCTCTTTAATATTTTTTATCCGTGTGTTACCTACGTGTATGTATAGGATGCATATGTATATTCACACCCGCGTGAGTTTGCGTGCATCATGCGCACGCAGGGGCCCACAGAGGTCACAGAACGGTATTCAACCCCCTGAAACTGGAGCTACAGGGAGTTGTGATCTACCCAACACGGGTGCTGGGACTCAAACGCCAGTCCCCTGGGAGAACAGCAAGTGCTCTTGACTGCTGAGCCATCTCTAAAAACATAAATTTAATTTTCTTTATTAACTACTGGATGCGCTATGACACATATGATTAAGATGGCCTACGTGTGTATGCGTGGTATGTTCATGGGAGCCAGAGGGCAGCGTTATGAATCTACCGTGTTCCCCTGCCCTCCATCTTTACGTAGGTTCCGGGGGTCAAACTCGGGTCTTTGGGTTTGCGTGGCAGACATATGTCTCCACCCACTGAGTCATCTCCCTGGCCCCGAATCTACAGCTCTTGACACTGAGCAAGTCCTCTCGGCAGTGTAGAAACGGACCAGACCCTGTGGGAAGCTGACGTGTAGAGTTCAAGCCTCCTCCCACCCTCGCACGTGGGGCGCCAGCTCCCTGGGAATCCTGGTCTGCGAGGTACAAGCCAGTCCGTTAGCCGTCTCCTCCGCAGAGTTGCGTGCATCCTGTCTCCCTGCGTGTGCCCCGATTCGCGGCACGTGGTTCGTTTTGCAAAGTTTAAACACGCGTGGGGGTTGACAGTTAGCGCCCCCGCTGGTGCTGAACCACAGGTTTTGGTAGTCTGGGGAACACGACGGCGTTAAAAGCCCACCTTCTCCTGAAAGGAGGGCTGACGATGAGACCAGACACCTCCAGACGCGTGGCTCACGGGCCGCTGGGACTCTTTCTCCAGGATGGAAGGGAAGCGGCGATGGAGGAGGGCGTGGTTGAGTACCTGGTAAACCCACAGCTGCAGCTCGGGGCTTGGCTTTGGGGCCCGAGGTCTGAGTGCCCTGGCCATTCTCACCAGGAGCAGAGCAGGCTTCGTGCAAAGCCCGCTGTCACCACTGTCCTCTTAGCTAAAGGCCTGCGACGTTGTGGTCTCCCCGCCAGCCGCCTGGGCCCTGCCGAGCTGTCTGAACCCCCAAATAACACACAGAACGCTATATTAATTATGAAGCTGTTCTATTGGCTGTTTGCTTGGTTTCTTTACTGGCTGGCTCTGATTTACGTATTTAACCCATAATTGCTAATCTGAGTATTTCCACGTGGTCTTCACTTACTGGAGGAAGGGTCCACATGTTGTCTCTCTGGCATCCTACATCAAGTGACTGCCTGTGCCTCTGTTTCCCAGAATCCTCCTCGGCTCCTAGTCCCACCTATCTTGCTTCCCTATTGGCCAACAGTGCTTTACTCAACAACCAATAAGATAAGCACATACACAGAAGGCCTTCCCCATCAAAGGCCTTTACATTTTCACTACCGGCCCCTGCACCTACAGGCAAGTCACACGGGTGCCTGTGCAAGAGACCAGAGAGTTCATGTTGGGCACGCAGTCTTCCGGAGTTTGTGGTTCCCAGCGCCAACGGCGGCCCCTGAGACTCCAGGGTGTTCAAATGGCCCCTCTGCTCCCATCTATCACTCAGCCCTCATCCCGAAGCACCCGAGCAGGTCGCTGGGCCTCGTGTCTAAGGAGCTGCACAGGTCCGGAGGAGCCTGACAGGCCTGTGGCTGTCTCCGGAAGGGCAGACAGGGCTAAGTCTCCCGGAAAGGAAAGAGGGCAAGGCTGCCCAGCATTTCTACGCCCAATTTATTAGTGAATGAGTCGCTCCACTCAGACGCTCACCGTGGAAGTGCCAGAAACAAGAAAGAGGCATCCCCTACTCACTTCTCTACAACGACAGCGACAGAGGACCGTTGTTGGAGAGAGTTGAGGAAGAAGCGGGTGCTGGGGGTCCAAGTTACCCACGAGGCAGAAGTAAGAGAGCTAGAGTCGAAAGGAAGCTTGGGCAGAAGGACTCGAGGGTGCTGTGTGAAGGAGCAGGTCCCTGTCTTCCGCCTCAAGCCACCTGGGCTAGGGACCAGTGGGCCACCCCCTATCTAGGACACAGTGCTCTATTCCCCTGGCTTTGGGTAAGATGCCACTGTCTTCAAAAACCTGTTTGGAGGAATCTACGTTCCTGCTCTGCTCGCCCAAGAAGGGGAGGGGTCGGCTGCAAACCGGAGTAGGTCACTACAGAGTGGCGGCCACAGCCCTGCTGCTTCGGGAGCCTGGCACACTCAAACAAGGGTGGCACTCATTCCTCAGACAGGGTGGGCCCTTCGGGATCGGTAGAGGCAGAGACTCGGGTCTGAGTGAGTCAACACCCTCTTCCAAGCCCTGGGTCCTGGTAGGTGATGTCACGGTGAACATGGGAAGTGGGTGCCTCCCTTCCTCCTACTGTGGGCTCCTGTGGACCCCAGTGTGCCGTGGGAGGGGTCGTGGGCTGCCACTCACTGGTCCTCTTGTTTCCTAGGAAAACTCTCCCTGGAAGAATTCATCCGAGGGGCCAAAAGCGACCCGTCCATCGTGCGTCTCCTTCAGTGCGACCCCAGCAGCGCCGGCCAGTTCTGAGGCCTGAGCCCCAAGGACGCCTCAGCTGCTCGTGTCTCCTGATTGGCGGCTAAACTTTTTTTTTCTTTTTTTTTTTTTTTTTTTTTGCCAAACGATATTGATGGCGACGTTGTCCCTTCATCGGTCAGATGGCGCCCTCCTGTGACACCTTTGCCTCTTGCTTCTTTGGTCGTGGACACTTTGTGGGAATGTCCAGAGCCCCGTGTGCTGCAGAGCGCGTGAGCGCACTTTCCTGGCGTTTCCCGTTGGATGACTTTTTAATCATCATTATCCACCACCTCCCCACCCCTTGACTCTAACGTCTTTGTCTTAAAAACCCAAGACTTGGGGACAAGAGAAGGGTTCTCCACCCAACCCGGGAGGGGCTTTGTTTGAAAGACCAAACTCTTCTAACAAGGAGGGTCTGTTGTCACACGTGCCCTCAGGGTGACAGCGGGCATTTGGGGCTGGGTTTCCTAAGAACAGGTTACCCTTTGGGGTAAGGCTGTTAAAGGAAGCTGGGACATTCCGGAAGAGGCCCACTCTCTGCCCCAGCAGGCTGTAGTTTCTAAGCTGTGAACATTTCAAGGTAAATTAACAGGAGACAGGCAAAGGTGGCTCAGCTCTTCCCCCCACCCCCACCCCACAGGTTTACACGAGTTGAGCTAGTAAGAGTTTCTTTGAGAAAAAAAAATTACACACAGATGGTAACAGATTCTAAAACCAGACCCATCTAACTCCCTACTTGTGATTTCTATTGCAGACCAAATTAAGTGTTTTGCCTTGTAAATGCATGTTTAATAAGTGCTAATACAATCTTACAACAGAGGACTGTTTTTAGTAGCTAATTGTGAAGCCAACTACAATGAATGTCAATGTCTTGTTTCCAAGTCATACCTGTCTTTGCACAAATGTGCCAGTCAGCAAGTATATTTCCTACACTCCGTAAGATTGCAGGGGAATGGTGACAGGGCCCAGCGTTGATGTCTGAATGGTTTCCCAGAGCCAAGGCAGCTTGGAGGCACGAGGAAGGCCGGGAGCGTCTTGTCCAGCATGGGGCGCCCCACACTGACAGACAGGGGCCAAGGCCCAGGAGCTTGCTGGCAACAGATGCAAGGGTGATGTTTTTCCTGAGCAGATAAATGTTCCATGGGCTCGAAAACTAAACAGAGAACTTCCTAGCAGTTCAACCCACATCCTTGGTGGGGGAGCCACATCTAGAACGTTCGTTTTTCCTGCCCCCGGGTGCCCTTTGAAGAGTCAGGTGTGGAACAGCCGGGGGAGTTCACCCACTGGAAGAGCCAGCAAGGAGCCTGCAGTGCCCAAGGCCTGTGGGCATCCCTCACCATGTCCTTTGCATGGGGTAAAGTCGAATTACTGCTTGGGCTGGTCACCTCGCAAACACTACTTTGAAACGAGGGCCGGAAGTAGGAACTTCTGGCCACAGGCAAGCCAATGACCCACAGACGGCTGGCGTCAGAAGGGTCCAGAGACTCAAGGGTGTCGGCGGCAGAACCTGCCTAAGAGGAGGAGGCAGGGAGGTCTCCATCCGCTGCCAAGCCACTTCCTGTAGAACAAGAACCACAAGAAGCTAAACACAGCGACAAGGAAAGTGGTGCCCACAGGTCCCTGCCAGCCTGAAGGCCCCCCCACCCACCCACGGCGACCCTGGGCACTGGCGGAAGTCCAAACTTGAATGGTGGATTAAAATGAATCAGTTCGTGTGTTGAAATTTTGTAATCTTCATTTTTTTTTCCTAGTGGCATTTCCTTACGTTTTTGTACCGAGGCTTGCCAAACCCCGTGGGCTCAACGGTTGAATCTGTTTTTGAACAGCAGAATGAATGCAAGTTGGGGAGCACAAACAGGTCAGGGACCCAGTACGCTCGCTGGCCACTTGTCCCAGGCCGAATTCCTCCTTCCGGATCTCATTTCATGGATGGCATCAGCTGAAGTTGGGGAATCCACTTGGGCTCTGCCTCCAGTTGCACCAGACCCGGTGTTTCCTAGAACTCAGAGCTGGGGTGGGAGCTAGAGACGGTGGCTGCCAGCTAGTGGGAGCTGAAAGATCCCGAGTTCCCAGAAGGCAGGCAGAGTTCCGGTCCTGGCTAGCCACACAGACATAGCACACCTGCTTGTATTCTCCCCAGGGAGGTACGGACGTGCCGCAGGGTATGTCTAACGACGCATGTTGACCAAGGGACTTCACGGTTCCCAGCTGGATGGGTGCCCGAAGAACATGTCACTCTGGTGAGGCGTTGCTGCGGCTGTGTTGGGGGTATCTGGAGGAAGAGGACCCTGATTTGTTCCAAGGAAAGGCAGCCTGTGTCGTTCATGGACTGGACTACTTGGCTTATGACTTGAAGGATGTTTCAAAGTTGACTGTTCATACCTCGCCCTCGATGGAGAAAGGGTGTTGTGGGTGCTGACCCGCCCCAGCAGTACACCCCAGGGGGACTTCATACAAGTGGATTTAGTAATATATATGTTATACTCCGCGGCGTGGTCCCGTTGTCAGTTGATTGTACAGCTCTTGCCTGGCATTAAAGCATGTTCATTATTTAATATCCTTGTCTCGAATGTGAGATTTTCCTTGTTAAATCTGCCCCGGCTGACTGTGTCTTGGGGAGGTTCCAGGTTTGGGGCTGGAAGAGTTTTGAAACCTTGTTGGTCCATGTATGGCTTCCTTCCTTCCTTCCTTCCTTCCTTCCTTCCTTCCTTCCTTCCTTCCTTCCTTCCTTCCTTCCTTCCCTCCCTCCCATGTCCTCTCCAACCCCAAACATGAGGAACACAAACAAAACCCCAGGCAAGCGCCTCCTCAGTAGGGGAAGCCTAAAGAAAGCGATACAGCCCTCTCCCTTCCTACTCTGTTAGAGAAGGTTCCGTGGAGAGATGTGATGATGGAAAGCCCGTACCCCAAAGCCCTTCACAATCTGTTGCTATCACAGACCATGAATGCACCCCAAAAGGTTAATACTGTATGAACAAGGGCTACTATCTTGCTCCCTAGAGTAGAAGCAATAGGCCCCTCGTAGGCCTACGTGGGCTCCTAATAGACCTACGTGGGCTCCTAATAGGCCAACTAGACCTTTCAGAGCAGATGTGGAGTCTTTCCCTACCGTACAGTTAGTCTCTAAGTGCAAGTACTGTCCAACTACATCAGGTCATTTGTGGTGGTGATGTTGGGAAGGTGGCCGGAGCCCCTAAGGAGCCTCTATACCTACTGAAGGCAGCACTTAAGCGAATCCACCAGACCCAAGACAGATGGCAAATAAGTATTTATTAGGGAAGCACTTACACAGATAAGAGTAAGTAACCGCCGTGGTCTTCCTGCTCCAGAAGATGCAGTCTCTGTACTTCCGATGCTCTCCCCAACCCAAGAGAGCACAAACCAGCCCCTCCTCTAGCTTATGATGGGTCACCTCGGCACCTGAAACCACGCCCAAAGGGTGTGGCCACCACCACAAGTTCACTGGCAAGGCAAGATGCCAGTACAATCTACAAACCAGCCATTTTCACGAATGTCGTCTGGGAGGCTGTCATACTGGGAGCATTGATGCGAGGCCCACAGCCCCTAGGAACCCCTAGGGATGCAAAGACTGTGACAATAAGGCACTGACCACTGGGCAGCTCTCTGGAGCACCCAGGCCATGGGAATGCTTGACTGCATGAATTATCCAGGGAAGAGTTGATATTTTAGTGTTTCTCTGGGAGAAATGGTGAAAACTTGCTAACCCGTACCCCGAGTTAAACATTCACCATGGTGTACAAAGACTGGGCCCATCCACAGTCCCTCATGGATAAGAGTGGGGGGTGGAGAGACACCCCCTCCCCAAGGAGTTATTTGCAGTTAACGGTGGCTGGGGAAGGGATAAATGGAGGGATCAGCAGGTGTAGGAGGGAGAGAAGAGAATGAGGGATAAACAGGACCAAATTATACACGTGTGCAAATACAATGAAATTAGTATACGCTAATAAAAATACTCACCGGACCACACCACCCCCATGAAGACAGGCAGATGGCCAGTCAGCCCTCACCACGCTGAACTTCTTCAACTGGGCTGGGCTCAGGCTGCATGTCCGGGGAGCGGAGTGCTTGACTCCAGATCAGTTGTAACCTTCTGTCCCACCACAAACGCCACTAAAAATACCTTAGCTTCCACCTGATGGCAAATCAGAAATGTTCTTTCCCAAGTGGTCCATTCTTGCACAAATAAAGCCTGTCTGGGGGTCAGAGGATGGAGCTTGTCACCAGCTAAACCACAGAGGTCTGGAGGTCTGTACAGACAGGCAGGAAGTGAGGTGGCTGGGCAGAGACAGGATATGAGCAGGGAGAAACAGGAAATCGCTCTCTTCTCTGCTGAGACGCTTAGGAGGTAAGGTGTAGCTGTGGCTTGCTCCTTCTCTCTGATCTCTCAGCGTTTCCCTCTGTATCTGACTCCAGCCTTTTATTATCTAGACTGATTAAGAACAATCACATCCCCCAAACCTCAGGCAGGTGTGGAGACTAGTCCAGCCTGAGGAAGGACATGAATAGTAACAATAATTTTTTTAAAAAAGCTTATGGCCCACTTCATAGAAGCTCCCATAATATCCACCCCACCTCAGACCTGCTCTTCCCGACCCCTGACGTGACAGAGGGCAAGGGTCCCGCGGGGGTTGATGCCAGCCAGGACAGGACTTTAGCGCTGTGCCTGGAGAGTGAAGGATGCTTCTGGGAGACCACTGAGGATGCATCCGGGCCAGTGTGAATGACCCCGTAGTGCGGTGGGTACCACAGGACAGCCAGTTTCCTGAGGTGTGGTGTAAAGAGAAGCTTTTTCCTTGAGAGAAGCCTTCCCGCCAGCCTGGTTCTAGAGCCGCATCAGTCCCAAATAAACACACAGGAGGCTATATTAATTATGAAGCTGTTGGCCTTGCTTGTTTCTTACTGGCTACCTCTGACTTAAGTAATTACCCCATAATTGTTAATCTAAGTATTTCTCTTACCGGAGAATAGTTCTGGGCTTCCTACCCCATGGCGTTACATCTTGACTCTCTGTGTTTCTCCTTCCCAGAGTCCTCCTGGACTCCTAGTCCCTCCTATCTAGATTCCCTATTGGCCAGACAGTGCTTTATTGACAAATGCACAGGATTTCCCCAACAGTGTGGGTCTTGGGAGTGTCAGGAAACATGGATATGGAACGAGTCACGTGGCCTCAGTCTATCTGTAGAGGCCGGCACCGGTGTAAACCAGCAGGAAGAATCTCAGGACCCACCTGAGGGAACCAGTCAGGAGCAGCTGTGCTGGAACCTTCCAGAGCCACACGGGAGGCCTCTTGCTGCCCTCTGACCCTCTCCTTATTTTAGCCCGGTATAACTGGGGTGGGGGAGGGGAGCAGGTCCATGCCCCACTGTAAGCATGGCCTAAAGATGCAAGAGCAGCCCAGACGCCAGAGATTCCTCATCGCAGGCAAGGAGCGCCGGCGCTCACCACACAGAAATCAGATGCTGCTGCTTGACACGTGTTACGAATATTTATTTTTTCTTCTTCTTAAAAATGTACAAAAAAATAAAATAACATATTTATAGTTTATAGATTCCCCCTTTCCCATTTACAAAACTATTAAGTTACATTTACTCTTTTTTTTTTAAATGTGGGAGCAGAACTGTATGCATATTAATCTCCCCTTCCTCATCTTTCAGAAAGGGCCATTCTTAGAATTTGGCACAAACCCCTCTTTTCCTCTTGCGTTTCCATGACTGTTAAATATGAAGGAAAAAAAATAAATGTTTTAACTCATTTCATGCTTCCCAGGTTCCTGCATTAGGACATATTTTTAAGAACCAATTTGCAACATGACAGCCCACTGTGTATTTTTCTGCCTGTTCCAAATTCTAAACACCAGGGAAGTTTCAACAATGTGAGGTCATGGGACCGAAAACACTTTCTGGCCTCATGCATCCCCCACCTTTTATGGATTACAAAACAAAACAGAAAAAAAAAACTTTACTTGGGTGAGATTTTTCAGGGCACAAAGTCAAGGCAAGCTTTTCTATCTTGCCGGAGTGTTTTTGTTCAAGACATGACTCGGCAAAGCTCTGCTAACACAGCAAGGGGCAGACACACCGAAGTCCCCCAAGGGACACTCCAGGACCTGACACTGTCACTCTTGTGACTCTGGCTTCTATCCCTTGTTCGGAGATGCCTATCACAAGCGACCCCAGCGTGCATCTGGAAGATCAGCCAATCACAGTTTGAGCTAACCCCAGGCGCTGAAGAGCATATAAATGTCCAATAGAGTTAGTCCATCTCAGATCAGATTCCTGCCTGTACCCTAGAGGGTCCCCAAGCTGCTGGTTCTAGGAATGGCGTTTGGAGTGGAGGAGAGGGCTGGAGCCCGGCTGAACGCAGGATGCAAACCTTTGGCGACACCAAGGACAAGGGGCGCCTGCCGGGGCTCTCAGAAAGGCGTCCCTGGGAGCCCTTGGGATCCTCTTCACATACTCTCCATCCCGTTCAGTCTGTCTCCAGCTTTGGAGAGGAGTAGCTGGTCTCGTGCCAACCTCGGTTGCTCCGGGCCTAAGGGGCAGAAGGGGCAAGAAGGCAGGAGCCGAGGACGGAGCCTCCAGGTAAGACATCAAAGTGCTTTACAGACAAACCTGGACCTTTCCATGGAAGCTGTCCCAATCATCCAGGCCTTAGAGTGGGGTGCGCCTGGCCACCCAAACTAGTACTCAGCCCACGGGGGCACATGCAAGTCCGTAAGCAGGGGCCCATGACCGGGCATGCTTTCTGACTGTTCAATTTTCTCTTGACCTCCAAAGGGTAAGGAGGGGAGCAGCCTCAGCTGTCCGGTGTGCCTCCCAAAGCTGGTTTTAGAAGTGCCGGGGGCTCTTCCGGCTTCCCACAGCCTGCGCCGATAGCCCCGACCTCTTCCAGTCTCCGGAAGCAACGTCTGCTGCAGTATCACAGCCCAGCCAAGCTTCTGGCTCACTCCGCAACGCTGCGTTTCCAAAGGGGCCACTTGAGATGAAGGACACACGTGTAAACTGTGAGGCGCTACCATGTCCAGGGTCCCCACGATGGTCAAGCAGCAGGTCCCAGGCACAGGGCCCCGGTGTCACCCCCTGCAGCAACTTTGCAAAAGGCTTAAGATGCCCGACACCAAAGCGAAACAAGGCACTGACCCTACGGCCTTTTCCCCCAGGGACATCACCATGAGATAAAATGTGCCGGCCTCAAGGGAGTCCGCCACATTTGAGGAAAAAGGGGCTGGCTCCCTCTGGGAACGGGGAAACACGTCCTCAGCCATGGCCCAATGGAGAGTCCATCCTGGCATTCACCACGGTCACACGACACCCCAAGGGGCCACTTGAATTCTCCGAGTGTCTGGGTATGTGTCTCCTCCGGGCCAGTGGCAGTAAACACGCCCACACACCACAGGTAAAATATATTATTGCGATACTATGTACCAAATATGTACACGGTCATCAGGCAGACTTTGTGTTCCTTATCTTTATCACCGACATGGTGTGGGAACGTCTTCCTGTACTACAAGGCCCAGTGGCTGCTTGGCTGTGAGAACCCCTGGAGGTATTTAGTAAAATGACCTTCCTCAGAGCTATCTGGAGGTTTGGGGCAGGGAAGTGGGGGCCCCCTCTCACCCCACACCCCGGCTCTTCGAGATGAGTGGACTGGTTTTGTTTCCCTTGAAGGGGAGCTATCAGTAACTTGTGGAGTCCTGGAGGGCCTGGGCTCCAGGCTCTGGGGGGGGAATAACGGGCAATAAATAAGGACCTGCCAGACCCAAAGAAAATTTGCTGAGGGGCTCAGGCTTCGGCTCCACCGGGAGGAGCAAGCAGAAGAGTCAAACAGTTGACAGGGTCGTCGCCGGGCCTTGGGCCCCGCCCCCTTCCCGGCAGTCTTTGTAACAGTCTTGTGAGGTGGGTGAGACGGATCTCCAGGTTCTGGGGCAGCCAGGATGCAGTCTATCCCGGGGAGGAGGGCACTGAAGGGAAGCTCCTGTCCAGGGGAACCGTGCCCCAGGGCTCAAATCTCCATGAGCGTGACCTTGAACCCCTCCACCATGCTCTCCATGTTCAGAATGAAGGTGTCCTCGTTCGAATAGTGCTCGATGATGTTGTCGTCCATGTTCACCAGGATGCTGTCATGGTTGGGGGGGGGGGGGGGACGACACACAAAGCCAATGAGCAGAGGGTACCCCTTCAGGCTGGGTGTTCCCTAGCCTTCCAGTCCCTTCCTCCAAAACCAGGTTAAAGAAAACAAGAGTCTCGGTTTCCCTGAACGGCCTTCATCATGATTTCTCACTAAACAGGGCTTCTGAGACCGCTTGGCCCAACACTTACACCTTTACACATTAGTCAACCAGGGCTCAGAGAAGTGAGCCGAGAGCCAAACCATTGCTGGCTACTGACAAAAAAAAAAAAAAAACAAAAACAAAACAAAACAAAAAACAAAAAAACAGCCCCAAATAGTTCAGCCCCTCGGGACGTTTATTACAAACCTCCACTGCCCTTGCCTGAACACGTATGTGCAGAAAAAAAAAGAAAAAGAAAAAAAAAAAAAACAGTACAGATGGGCTTCAGAGCAGCTTTGGAGACAAGTTTTATGCCGGTGATTTGCAAGCAAGGAACAACTTGGCCAGTGAGGACTAGGCTAGGTCTGAAGCCGGCCTTACCTCACCTCCAAGCTACCCCACCTCTCCTGGGCTGCCTACCCCAAGGTGGTTTGGTTTCAAGAAAATACTCTTCCAGGGTCTGTGATTTTTTTCCCTTAATTTTTGTGTTTTTCCTGAGTGTGTGTGTGTGTGTGTGTGTGTGTGTGTGTGTGTGTGTGTGTGTGTGTACACCATAAGTGGTGTGCGGTGCCCTCAGAGTTCTGAACTGGACATTTAACCACCTGGGATTAGAATGGCAGATGGTGATGAAATTGAACCCAGGTCCTATGACTGGGAAGTGCCCAGTGCCTGGGACGATCTCATTCTTGCTAGTCAGAGCTTTTAGTTTGAGAAGTCTGAGAAGCAATGACTCCCTGAATCCTTTTATACTGGTGCCACCGGGCAAGACTTTTGGCCTGTCACGGAGGAAGCCCATGAAGAGCCTTGAAAGGAGCAGGGGAGCTGTAGACACCCCCCCCCATCTGCGTTCTGTTTACTAAACAAAAGGACCTGGAGCAAAATGCTTAAGCCAGCCCAGGCTTCACTTCCTCATCAGCAAACTCACTTATGAGCAAGGAGGAAACAGGAAGAGAGAACTGAGTAGGGAAACCAGAGCCCCTTGACCACCCCACCAGGAAGGACCAATTGTTCCTAATGATGTGGGTGAGCAGGTCCAACCGTTTGAGAAGATTTCATTAGTGATTGCCTTGGAACAATTCCCTGCATCCCTCGACAGGTTTTTGTTCCTGTGACACTCAGAAGCCAGCGACAAGAGTGGTGACCTCTTCCTTGTCCCCAAATGTCCCCACCAGCTCTGTGCCTCCCTTCCACTTGCAATGCTGTCCTACAGATGCCAGCGTCTCGGGTGACATCTTGGCAGTACACTGTGGGTCTCCCTGCCTCAATCACTAATGATCTTAAGTAGCGATCGTGGGCCACGGAGGCGGTAACAAGAGATAAAGAAATGCACCTTGCAGTCGTGCAAGCTGTCGGTATTCAGGCGTCTGTACTGGCCCGCCCTTGGGGTTCTGACAGGACACGCCCTCAGCCACAGACACTAATAGCACCACCTGTGCACATTCACTGCGTTCCCTCGTAAAAGAGGCCTGCCCAGCCGGGCAGTGGGTGTGCATGCCTTTAATCCCAGCACTCGGGAGGCAGAAGCAGGCGAATCTCTGTGAGTTCGAGGCCAGCCTGGTCTACAAGAGCTAGTTCCAGGACAGGCTCCAAAGCCACAGAGAAACCCTGTCTCGAAAAACCAAAAAAATAAATAAATAAAAATAAATAAAAGCACCCTGCCCACCTCCCATCCTGCCCGTCTCTGTCTCTCTTTGTCTGTCTGTTCCCCTCTCTCTCCTTCTCTCCTGCTTCTCCTGTCTCTGAGGCCGGTCTCCCCCCTCCCTTTTTTATGATCCCATATCTTAATAATTAAAAAAAACCTCTGCTTGAAACCAGTTGGAACGGTGTCTTCCCTTGTGCATGGCTTCTGGTAAATGGCCACAGAAGCCAGCTGAGTTTAGCTTCTTCCTTACCCCTTTTTGCTCTTCTTATAAAGCTTTGTGATTTTCTCCACGGGCAGTCCATACTTCTCAGACAGCTGAAACATGAACAACAGGTCAGCAAGTCAGCAGGGAACAGGGGCACCAGTGGAAGCCACACACAACAGAACACTCCAGCTCAGCTCCCCTGCCACCGAACACAGCACAGTCTCCCTAATGAGACAAGCTGGGGGGTAAAAATCTCATTTATAAGGGACAAAAGCCTCAGTTTTCCTGAACTACCCAAGCCACTGGCTTCATAGATCGGTAAAATGAGGTTCTTAGAAATGAACGGAGCCCCAAATCACAGTCAGCGACAGGTGGGGTCCGGACCTAACTAACGGGGACCCCTGACGGTTCTCACCAAGTCACATTTCCTCCGCCCTTAGCAGGATGAGGATAAGAAACATGAATTGCAGTTCGTGATGTGAGCGCCAGTGCACTGTGTCAGAGTTTATATCCGGTACGGCTCTATTGGATTTCTCTTTGGACCTAAGTCACGCAGCAAAAACGATCTTGATGTAAAAGTGGTATTTCTGATCGGTTTTTTTAAAAAAAGTAAAAACAAAAGGCTTCTGATAATCACAGTGTTGGATTAAATAGGTTGTCAGTTTAAAAAAATAAAAGGCTTCAAATCACAGTGTTGGATTAAAAAGTTTAAAAAAAAAGGCTTCTAATCACAGTGTTGGATTAAGTAGGTGGCCACACTTCAAAACAGATTCCAAGTGAGCTGTGGAGTGTACTCCAGACCAGCCTCAATAGGTAGCGAGAAAAAAAAAGTTCAGGGGATAAAAGATTTATATATGAAAGACGAGGCATGGACGAACAGGAGAAAATAGCCATGGGCTGATTCTCCAATATAACTATCATCTTAAGGCACAGTTTTCTAGAGACACGCATAACCCACAGGAAAACCCGAGGTTAACTATTAATGACAACGTAGAATGTTAAAGTTACCAGTAGATCAAAAGCCACCACGAAGAAAAATAACACCCTGGGAAGCATTTGAAAATACAAACAACGGACGCAGCGCAAACTACTTTTAAGTTTAAAAAAAAAAGAGCTGGACGGATGGGAACCAGGGTTAGGGGAGAAAATGCAACAAAGGAACATTTCGTAGAAGAAAACTCATGGGTAGTAAGCGTGTGAAAACTGCTGCACTTTTATTTAAATTTTCCAAATGGAAGCAATAGCAGGGCAGTACTTTCAATTTATCAAACGATCAAAAATTGCAAAGGGGGCCAGAGAGGCAGCTGAGCAGGTGAGAGTGATTTTTTTGCTTCTGGTTTGAAGCTCTAAGGGATCGGATGCCCTCTTCTGGCTCCTGTGAGTGCCTGCACACAGGGCAGACACACAGACACATTAAAAAAAAAAAAATCTTAAAACAGAACAAAGGTGACGCAATAATCTAGCACCAGTCAGAGCGTGAGGAGACAGCGGTGTCCGGGTTCTGTAGACTGGGCGATGATGAGAAGCCTCCTGGGAAAGGAGTTTGGCGGAGCATAAAGTTTTTAAAAGCTGGTATGTCCTGACCCTCGCGGCGTGCCTATATCCATATCTATATAGTCTGACATACAGAAATATTCTCATACTCAGAGACATTCCCGACTACCACTCTTCATCACAGAGAAAACACCCAGCTAAATACCTTGATATTTTCTTCACAGCCCTCATTTTAAAACTGGGAAACTTACACCACTTACACATTTTTAGAACCTTAGGATATTAGGTGGGGGGAAACAGGTGAAGATTTGCCTTGCAGTATAATCCTGGCTGCATTTTTAACCTTTGCGTGTGTTCAGATGTACAGGAAACATCTAAGTGGCATGCCAGTCTATTAACGGTGGCTCCAGCTGATAAATGGTCAGCTTCAAGCTCGCTTTACCTTGCGGAATTCTGTAGTGGCTATTTTTACGATGGTGTCATTTTTGTAAGGACAAAGTGGCAGGGGCTGAGAGATGAGTTCTGGAGAGATCTGCCCCAGATAGGTGTCATGCCCTCTCTACGAAATTACTAAGGGGTCACAGGCAGCTGGGGCAGGTGAGGTTCGGGACCATGCTCAGGAAGCGCAGCCGTGGCTACAAGGCAGGCTGGAAGGGTCCTAGGGGAGACATGGTGTCCCAAGAAGTGTTTATTCCCACCCTTCCATCCCCACCACAGAGCGGGAGGAACTCTCCATCCGTACACCCAGAAGCAAGACATCGGAGGACAGAGAGGCAGGGTGGTGAAGGGAGAACCGGGCAAGCACTTGACCTGAGTTCTTGCTGAAACAGCAGCCACATTCCAGGGTGACCTAACTTCCTCACTCCTTCCCTGGGGTTCTAGAAGCACCGAGTGAACAGAGCTAGTGCAGAGAAGCCACGTGAGAGCAGCCTGCTTCCACAATACTCACTGAGTTACTTCCTGCTCTGAGGTTTGCGGGTTCTCACAGGGGATGGATGGATGGATGGATGGATGGATGGATGGATGGATGGATGGATGGATGGATGGATGGATGGATGGGAACTTGTGTGGAGGGGGGAGGGGCAGCATACAAGCAGGTACTCAAGGGGGATAGACAGGAAGTGACCTAGGCTATCCTGACCTCCAGACATGCCACTGCCAATCCCACACATGAAAGCATACTTTTTTTTGTAGGTGTGTGTGTGGGGGGGTTGAGACAGGGTTTCTCTGTGGCTTTGGAGGCTGTCCTGCAACTCACTCTGTAGATCAGGCTGGTTTCGAACTCACAGAGATCCACCTGTCTCTGCCTCCCGAGTGCTGGGATTAAAGGGGTGTGCCACCAACGCCCAGTTGAAAACACACTCTTGTGCAAACACATAAAGACACGGATCGTTTCTTTGTTTTTGTTTTTTGTAAATGAGCATACCACCTTCTAGATTACAGAACTACCCCGTCACGTGGCCTGGCTCACAGGCTGCAGGAAATCCGTGTGGCTGCAGAAACAGCCGCCAACTCCACACACACACTACTTCTGAATCTGCCTGTCACGGAACCCTCTGACTCAAATGTCAATTCACCCCTGAAGGGAGGGTGGGGACACTGTTCCAGTCCTCCTAAATGACCTGTATTTCATCACTGTCAATATTATTATTTTAAAGAGAAAGAAACTTAAAAAAAAAAAAAAAAAAAAAGACAGGAGACCCAAAAGAGACTGCGGGAGATTGCCAGGGAGGCCGGGCGACAGGAAATGCGGAGGCGATGAGGGAGAAAAATACCCTAAACTCGCTTTATTCAATCTAATGCCTGGCACGCTAATGCCAAGAACCGCAATAGAGTAAGACGCCCTTTGTACTCATCCATATACACCTCCAGGTAATTTACGGCTGAAGACGGGGAGTCTGGACCGGGAAACGGAAGCGTGCTCTTGAGCTACGGAGCCCCCATCACCCACAGTGTCTGCCACCTGCTCCCAAGGAGCGTTTACTACGCTGCCGTTTAATGCCCTCGATGGCTCCGTTTTATGGGTGACGCCGTCCTTTTCATACAGCTCACCCAGGGATGCAGCACACGGTGGGGAACTCTGGCTCTCAGACAGACACACAGGGACCTGATGGCGTCACACTTTCACTCCTGGAATCGCCAGGAGCCTGTTGCCTCTGGAACACTGCATCCCTTTATCAGAGACAATAGTCGGTCTCGTCAAACTCTCAGTGACCCACGGAGGAGGTGTCCCAGGCCGGGCCAATTCGGCGTCACAGGGGAACACGAGGAAATAGCTTATGGGGACACTCCTTGGCTTAAACACAGATTTGCAGGATCTGGCTCCCCATAATGTATAACGAGAGGGCTTATTTCTACCCCAGTGGAGTAGCTTTTAGAGGAGAATCAGGGCCAGTCCCAGTGAGGACACACACCGGGTCATGACTCTCAAAAACATTTGGGTTCAGGCAGGCCACTCCTGGGAAACCTGCCAGGAGGGGCGTGGGGGGGGGCTGGAATCAATGGCTGTAACTGGAGCTCTCTGATGGCGCCTTTGAGACACAGGTGGGGGGTTTCAATGGGCCCAAGTATAGAGGTAAAGTTTCTACTGTGTTCCTAGGAAGGGCCGGGAACAAAGATGGGTTGGCAAGCAGAATGTCTCCTAACAAACTTCCTTCAGGGGTGTTTTTTCCCTCACCTGATGTCATCTCTTTTTTTGCAAGTAGCCTTTAGTTGTCACCCAAAATAAAAAAATAAATAAAAAATTAAAGAAAACCTTTTAAGTGACAGCATTATTCTGAAACTGAGTCAAAACAAAATATGAAGGCCCAGAGTCCTAATTCCGCCATCTTGTTTTGAGAGCTAGCTTTCTGTGGGACGCCGGACTGGGAGACATAGAGTTCCTTCCTTGGAGCAGACGTCGTCCTCTGGCTCAGGGGCTTTGGAGGAGACGCTGGCACAATCCCCACAGCCCCTGCCTAGGCAGACACTTCACACGGGTAGGTCACTACACAACAGATTTGCCATCCATCCTTTTGGACAGTGAGCATTTGGGAACCCAGAATCTGAACAACATTCTGTGTTTTCCCACGCTGGTTCCTACTCAAAAGGATGGTTTAGGCCTTTAATCCCAGCACTCGGACGGCAGAGGTAGGCAGATCGCTCTGAGTTCCAAGCCAGCCTTGTCTACACGGTCTGTAGAGCAAGTTCCAGGATGGCCAGGGCTACATAGAGAGTTCTTGAAAAACCAAGGGGAATAAAATGATAGTTTAGTAAGAAAGACTCCATTACCATGGCCTTACTGGGCCAGAGAAAAGCTCCTGTCCATACGGTCTCATTTGGTTCTCATCATGGCCCTGGAAGCCAGATACTCATAGTATTTCCATTTTAGGAATGAAAATCAGGCTAAGAAACTTTGTCTAGCTGGTAAGGAGCACTGCCAGATTCTGGAGAGGTTTTCTGAGGCCAAAGACTATATAGTATTTGCATATCTATATATGTAGTATTTACATGCTGCCCATATTTATGCCACTATCGTTACATGCATATATACAGTCTGCCCTGACTACAGGGTCTGCACCCACAGGCTTAACTGACCAAAGACCAGAAATGCTTATCTTATAAAAGTTGTGTTCATACTGAATGTGAACAGATACATTTTGGTCATTATTTCTTGAACAATGCTATTTACATAGCTGTTACACTCATCAGGTAGTGTAAACTAGAGGTGATTTAAAGCATATGGAGGGATGTGCAGAGATTATAAACAAATACACCATTTTGTAGACAGGACGAGGGCTTCAGCACTCGTGGAGTTGGTTATTATAGAGAATTTCGGGTATGTGCATTATATGCACAGGCACTAATGCATTGCAGCCTATAGACGTGTACTGGCAAATGTGAGTGTAGTAACAAGATATCCTGGTCCTCCCAGGATCCACATGCCAGTGCTTTCTTACTTGACACGGAGATCCAAATACATTCCCCATAGAACTATGCTGGCAAGATGTAGCGTTCTTCAAAAGGCACCATCCAGCCGGGCGATGGTGGCGCATGCCTTTAATCCCAGCACTCGGGAGGCAGAGGCAGGTGGATCTCTGTGCATTCCAGGCTGGGCTGGACCAATAAGCCTCCAAAACAATACAGAGAAACCCTGTCTCGTAAAAACAAACAAACAAACAAAAAGGCACTATCCCTGCCATGTGCCGGAGTCCTCCCTCAATACAGCCTGTGGTCCTCCACAACCACCCCTAAGGTCCACGGACTCGGCTGACAGCTCACCCCCAGCCCTCATCTCCGGAGCACCCTGAAAGGACTTGGCCACCTTTCCCCGCTGCCTGCCACGCCCCAGAGTCGAGCAGGTAACTTGTGTTGGGACTTTAAAGGGCCTTTTGTTCTAGAGCTGAAGGGGAGATGAAGCCAGAATCTAACTGGAGCTAGGGAGGGAACCTGACTTAGCTCAAAGGTTAGCCCATCCCCCTGCTCATCTTCTAGTGCCAAAACAATGCAGCTTGAGGGGCTGCCCTTGAAGGAGGAAGTGCAGGCTGGGAGGTGTGGAGGGAGGGAGGGGAAACTGTGGTGTCGGGATGTACTGGATGAGACAAGGATAAATTAAAAAAAGAAAAGAAAAAAAGCCGGACTGGGGTATGACATGTCCAAAGTTGTTCAGAGAGATCTGAAAGCTTTTATAGGTCATTTGCCCATCCTGCAGCTGTTTCAAGGTCATTTAAAAATCTTGGTTCTGGGCTGGAGAGATGGCTCAGCAACTAAGAGCGCCTGGGGACCTGAGTTCAATTCTCAGCACCCACATAGCGGCTCACAACCGTCTGTAAGTCCAGTTCCAGGGAACCTGACACCCATGGCAAAACACCAACGCACATTTAAAAAATAAAAATCCTGGTTCATCCCTTCTAGGCCCTGTGTAGTATCTGCTCTTACCAGTTTAAAAAAATCAGAGCAGATTGTGGTGGCTCGCGCCTTTGATCCCAGTGCTGAGGGAGTGGGGGGGGCGCATGACAGAGGTAGGCAGATTTCTGAATTATAGGCCAGCTTTGTCTACATGGTGACTTGACTAACAGGCTGGCTGGGATACATAGTGAGACCCTAACCTCAAAAAAAAAAATTATGGTTCATTCGGAAGGATACACTCCCTGTGCTTTCTTGCTTTTGCTTCTGGGTTTGTTTCTGCTTTGTGTAGAACAGAAGTCGATACTCCCCCGCCAATCACGACAAGCAAAAAGCCCTCCTCCATCTGTGCTTTTTGGAGGGTGTGGCCTTGCTGCTTAGCTCAAAATTGACCTGGGGACACGAAACACCAACGCAGGGGCAGCACAAAACCCAGGCGGTCACGTTCTTACGCATTATTTTAAATTTTCCTGATTATCAGTAAGAACCACGGACAGACAGAAAAAATCATAATACATTCACGATATTACACAATGGTTCACGCGAATTCTGAAGCTCCCTCATCATTTCCAGAATGCATTGCGCACTAAGCTCTGTCCCACCTTTGGCTCCTAAATCCCTGGCAACCACTCTCTCTCTCTGTCTCTGTCTCTCTCTCTCTGTCTCTCTGTCTCTCTCTCTCTCTCTGTCTCTCTCTCTCTCTCTCTCTGTCTCTGTCTCTGTCTCTCTCTCTGTCTCTCTGTCTCTCTCTCTCTGTCTCTGTCTCTCTCTCTCTGTCTCTCTGTCTCTCTCTCTCTCTCTGTCTCTCTCTCTCTGTCTCTCTCTCCAGAAAGCCATTGATTCTGATAACACTGATAAGTTGAATCGTGTAATAGATGCCATTCTGTAGCTCCCTGCCCAGTCTCACTCCATATATCCTCCCAAAGGACCGGAAACAGGTGCCCAAACAAAATACTAGCCCGTGACAATGGCACCCCAGGAGGAAAGACGTTGGGTCTGTCAGGTGAATAAATGAAAAAGAAAAAAGAAAGAACTACGTTGTTGTCCACACGGTGGACTAGTACCCTGCTAGGATGAAGTGCTGACTTGTGACACATTCCGTTATGTTGGACGTCAAGGGAAGGCACAGGTGGAAAGGATAGGCAGATGCTCGCTCTGCGCGTAGGACCTGATTAGACACTGCAATGTTTGCCCATAGGCACACATGTGGCCCCATGCGAACAGTTTATCAGGCCAGCAGGCCGCCAGGAGAGACAAGAGACACTCCCTGTTGGTGTCCCTCATCTCTGCTACACCCTTCACGAGGCAAGTGTGAGAATTCAGTACATACTCGGGGCGCAGTCGAAGCTGGGTGAAGAAACGGAGTTTTCCCAAGTCAGGCTGACTAACCCTGCTGAGTCAGGGGTGAGAGGGGAGAGAGAACCATCTGTAGCTCTGTAGGTCCCTCCCCTAAACCAACACACGTGTCTTCTCTTCACTTCCCGGATAGGCTGCCGTAGCCAGCAAGGCACCACGTAGATTTGGGTTCGTGTGTATTTGGAAGCCACGCGCACCAAATTCGGCTTTGTGCTAACAGACGAGTGAAAACACCCCGTTACCCCTCCTCCCCAGCATCTGACTGGGACGATTAGTCTGAAACCGACGGGAACTTGGTAGTTACTCCAAGAGTTTGTCCTAACAAGCCAACAGGACCTGACGCTCAGGAGCCACCCTGGTAGCTGCATTGTCCTAAGTAAGTTCTGCCAAGGCACATAAGGACAGGCAGGGCTCCTGGAGGCTGAAGGCGAGACCCATGGCTTACCGCTTCCATCAGGCCCTTCACCGTGGGCGACTTCAGCATCAGAGCGTCGAACACGTCATCGTTCTCCTTCCTCACGTACAACAGCACTGCAAGAGAAGGGGGCCGAGGCTGAAATCCTGCATCCATCCATACTCAGGAAAACAGCCCGGGTCAAAGGAAACCTCCAAACCCGGTGAGCCTAGATCTCAACCGCAGTGGAGCCTTCTAGCTACCATCACCACCTGCAGAACCGGAAAGTGAAATCCGCTACATCCAAGCCCGCACCCCTCCCCCTCCTCTGCCCCAAAGGCTTCCTTGAAGCTGTTGCTTATAAAGGACAGGGACTCTGCCCATCCACCCTCCCCACCCCACCCCACTATGAGCATTCTGTGACCCCCAGGGAGGAGAGGGAGGAGGCTTCAGGGAAGAAGAAAGTCTTAGGCAGGGGAGTGGGAGTGCCTTCTCGTTACCAGATACGAAAATGAAGTGCCAATTAAAAAGCAGACTGGCTGCATCGCCAAAAGTTTATAAATTTACAAATGCATGGCCTACATGCTAGCTAAACTGCCTGGTAACCTTGATAAGGTTATCAGAAGAGGAGGTGATATGAGCAAATACGGAAAAGCCCTAAGCCCACAGACACCAGTTACGTCCACATGAGGACAATTAAGTTCCAGGGGAAGACACAGCTGGTGGCTGTTATTCGATGGGAATTACATGGTGGAAGTTCTGTGGCTCCTTCCTGAGGCTCTCAACAGCAGAGAGAGAGAGGAGAGCAGTTCCCAGCAGGCTGACCCTAGGGAACCCTGGAATTGCATCCTATTAAAATGAGCATTACTTACAAATAACCTCTCCTCCAACCATTGTCTTTGAAACACGATCTTCCTGGTTGCCCAGGGGTGGCTGGGGGGTGCTGGATGTGTGGGTGAGGGGGCGGGGACAGTGCCAGCCTTCTAAAGTGTTCTGGGTGTGTGTGTGAGCTGCCTACCCGCCAACCCCCAACCTTGTTGGCAGCCATCCTGGTGGGCGTGCTGGGCTCCACAGAGGGCTTGCCCGGGGAGTCGGCTTTCATTAGCTGCTTTCTGGGGTGCAGCAGTAGTAGGAGTCAGCCTGCCGGCAGCAACCAAACAACCACTGAACACCCCAGACGCGGTACAGCCACAGGCAGACGGCCTCTGTGGAACCCCAAAATGTCACTCCAACGACAAGTAGCTGGAAAGGGAAACCAACTAATAGTGACGGCTTTGGTGCTAATCGTGGCCGCCTCCTTCTTGGGAAACTCCTGACAGATAACCAGCAGAAGCTGTCATTACGACCCTGAGCCAGGAAAGTAGTCCGGTGACTCTGCCAAACTTCTCCAAAGAGAAGAAGGGGGGCATGCAGAGGGCAGTTTTCTTACTGCTGGTACGTTAGGGTACCTGCCCTCTATGCCTCGCTGACTTAACTTTTAACTAATGCCTGGTACAATTTCTAACGGCGATCTTGGTGCCGGTTTCCATGGGCTCTGAAAAATCGTCGTCGGACTAGCTACTGGCGTATTAATGTGTAGTGGCGGTCCAATTTCACATTCCACATGCCAGAGTGACTCCTAGTTTCCCTAGGACTCTGCCTTAACACTAAGTAAAGCCAGGGAGGAAAAGACACCAAAGCATGGAGGTGAAAAAGGTGACAGTGAGCTAGGCTTTATGGGCACGCCCTGCCTGTTGTAGATTGTTTCCACCTACTGAATGATTCTGAACCATTGGTCCCTGGAGACAGCACTGCCACACACACACAGACATGAGCAAACACACACACACACACACACACACACACACACACACACACACACACACACACGCACACACGTCTCTTCTGAACTGTGTATCACTGCTGGATGAGTCAGGACACACACTACCATTCTCCCAAGGCAAAGGAAAGGCCTGTAACCACCCATGTGAGGAAAAACCCACTAGGGTCAGCACTCATTCAGTCTGGGGGGAGCTGAGTTCTTCTTGACAAGACAACACTCCCCCGGCCCCGCTCCCCCAGCTTTTACACGGGGACAGACTGTGCCCCGAGCCCCGACTGTGTCAGTGGCGTGCCAGGATGGAGAGGTACCTCGCTTTATGTTTTCTTCTTTAATCTGCTTGGATGGGGTTGGACCGAACTCATCTTCCATGGGTCTGAACATCCGCTTAACCAGGACACTGCTGCTGGAGAAGACAAGCAGAAACGGGTAAGTACGGTAAGTACGGGAAGCGTGTCACCAGGTCTCGGCCCTGCGGGTGCCCGTCCCTTCCCCCTTCACACCCGCTCCTTCCCGGGGGCGAGGGGGCAAGACATCCACATGGAGGGAAAAAGCTTTTAGAGGGAAGACCACGGCTGTGCACCGAAGATGAACCCAAAGGTGGAAAGCTGGCCTCATCCCCCTTTTCCTTTCAGACCAGGGCTGCGGGAAAGCTGCTTTTACCACCAGGGGCTGCGAGGCACCCAAGTTGCAACAGCCCCTCACATCCAAGGCCTGGCTGCCCTGTGTGCCCCTGAGGGTCCCTTGGAGCACAGCAGGAGACAAGGCAGGCCACCTCAGCAGACCTCTCTGTTGGGGACCATCCCGGTTTCCCACGGTCCTCCCTTCCCTAGTTGGCACACAAGGGAGTCCAGTCTATTCCCTCTCTCTTCCTCCTGGAAGATGGCGGCGGTGCTGAACCCTGAGCACTCTGTGGGCCAGCTCTGGTAGTTCTGCATCTGCTTCCAAAACCCCTGTGCGTTGCAGGCAAGCTAAGGAAAGGGAAGGGCTGACAGGAGGAGACACGGGAGGACAAATCAGAGAAGTGGAGATTATCCGTTACTCTCAGGAATGTAGATGCAGGTCTGTGGAAAACACTAACCCCTGCTGGGATTGTCTGGCCCATGGAGCAGTGCCTGGCAGATCACTTAGAATTCTTAGCACAGGAACTCTGAGGGCAGACCACCGTGACTGATTCAAAATCCCCGATTTATAGTTTATTACTATGCAGACTCGGACGCGTCTCTCAACTTCCCTGGGCCTCAGCCTCCTTATCTTTAGAAGGAGACTGCTGACGTAGAAATGGAAATATTTGAGGAGCTGGAAATATTAATTATGCCCAGTTGATCATTACACACTATGCACACTGTCAAATGATCGCGCCGTGCTCTATAAATGAGCACAAATATCATGTACCAAAATGAAATTAATTAATTTAATAACATTGAAAAGGAGGCCCGACAGGTGGCTCAGCGGTAGAGACTGTATACAGCCCTTGTAGAAGATCCCGGTTAAGTTCGGAGCACCCACGTCAGGCGGCTCAGGCTTCAGTAACTCCAGGTCTAAGGGACCCAATTCTTCTGCCCCCATGAACGCCTGCACTCAGGTGCAAATATCCACAGGACACAGACACACATGATTTAAAGTTGATTTAAATAAAAAAAAATTAGAGGGTGCTCAAGAGAATTCAGTGAGTGCTGGGGGGACTCACAAGGCCTTAGGACTGAGGGTTAGCACAGGTGACGTTCTAAATGAAGACAGAAGATGCTAATAGCCACAGGCTGGGGAGACTGGAGAGTAAGAAGTGTGGAGAAGACTAGATTTTTCCATCCAGAGCAAAGCGTCCAACTACCACGTGGTCTTGGCACAGGAGACGGACATGTACTCACTCCAGTCTTGCAGACAGCACGAACATCTCTGGGACTCCTGAGTGACCTTCCCGCCACCAGAGAGCCCCTCATCCCTTCCCATGGGAGGTCAGTAGAAACCCAAGGGTTATAAAAGCCCACGGCACACTCACTACCTGCGGACAGTCCAAACAACACTTCTGTCCATGCTAGTATCTGACATCACGGAGCCCACGGCACACTCACTACCTGCGGACAGTCCAAACACTCTGTCCATGCTAGCATCTGACATCACGAAGCCCGCGGTGCGGAATTGACCTTCCCACGTGCCAAAGGGCGTAGCAGCCAACCAAACTCCTTCACACAAAGTCCAGGCCTCACAAAGCCCACTCAGGTCTCACGGGCGCTCCGAGAGCCAGCCTGTGTCCACAGAGACAGAAGGCTCAAGTGTTCACGGCCTTACCCACGGTGACTCAGATGACCGGGTAAAAAGGCTGTAACACGCGCCACCTTCAAGGGAACCGTCTCGTGAAAGGGTTACCCAAGAACCTGGGATCCTGGTGAGGACAGGGAATGAGGTCAAGGACCAGCGCTGGCTGCCTTAATTCATCCCCCCTACATCAAACAGTGAAAACAGCTGAGGAAGATGGAAAAGCTCAGGTCCCGTTCAGGACACTGCTCTTTGTGGCCTGTCCTTGAGGCTTTGTCATAACAGCACGGCACGGCACTCTGCCTTGGAACTGGAGTGACCATGAACTTAGGACAAGAAGATTTTTTTTTTTTTTTGGTTTTTCGAGACAGGGTTTCTCTGTATTGTCTTGGAGGCTGTCCTGGAACTCGCTCGGTAGACCAGGCTGGCCTCGAACTCACAGAGATCCACCTGCCTCTGCCTCCCAAGTGCTGGGAATAAAGGCGTGCACCACCACCGCCTGGCTCAAGAAGATTTTTTTAAACTTCTTTTTTTTAAGATTTATTTATTCTGTCTGTAGGCCAGAAGAGGGTGCCAGATCTCATTACAGATGGTTGCAAGCCACCATGTGGTTGCTGGGAATTGAACTCAGGACCTCTAGAAGAGCAGACAGTGCCCTTAACCACTGAGCCATCTCTCCAGCCCTAGAAGATTTTTTTTAAGAGAAGAAAAACCCACTCACACAGCAGCCAAGGGCCATTAAGCTAATAATTGGTAAACGGCCTGAGATATTACTAGACACCTTCTCATGCCGTGTAAGAGTCAAGCTACTTCACCAAGCAAGAGTCATTTCTATTTTTCCAGTTCAGCTGACTTGAGAACACCTTTTATTCCAAGCCACAGCAGGTTTTGTGATTAAAACAGTACCTTAGCTTTCTCTTGAGGCCAAATACGGTTCTATAAACCCAGGAGTGGTCGGTAAGTTTTCTGTGTTCCCAATCCACTGGTTTTGTATATTTTCAAATCAAGACCAAACAGGCGGCTATGACTCGCCCACTCGCCAATAAAGAGAATACGGGGTGCAGGCCTTGTGTTGCCCAGGCCAGTGACACTGGATGATACGTTTCAAAGATCAGAGAGCAATGGATCCGAGTCTCCCCATCTCCGTCCCACCGGCCATCAGGTAGAAAAACTCAGGGCCAGCAGCCTACCAGCCATGAGCACGTGGGGTCGATCAGAAGGCAAACCAGACCCTTGACGTCAACCAACGAAACCAAGATTCATCAGCAAGGGAAGTGTGACGTCTGAAGCCAGATTAGGGGTTAATTAGAGCAGGGTACCCAGGATTTACGGTGAAACTTCTAGAGAAGAGTGAGCTAAGTCCTCCGTAACACCGCTGGGGGGTTGAGCAGCTTCTCCCATAGTGGAACAGGAGGCTGGGTCAAAATCACAGAGGAGGGAGGAGCTTAGCCTGACCCCAGTCCTGATGGTGGCCGTGACAACGCTACTGAAATCGGTACCCGCCTCAGGGCTAGATGGAGGCACCTGGTAGCCTCAGAGCTCAGGGACCTGTCTTCTCTGCCAGGAGTGCTCATGAGACGAAACCAGGCTGTGTCTTGGCAAAGGCCGGGAAAATACAGGGAAGCTACACAATAGGATAAGCCCACCACCCCCAACCCGTGCATTCTCCTCAGCTACAGGTCAAGATCTGAGGAGACTGAGTAAGGGAGGCTACAGGTGAGTGCTGGGAATTATGGGTAGGCACTGGTTACACACACACACACACACACACACACACACATACACACACACACACACACACACCTGCTTCAATCACGTGCCAGCTAGAGGACGCTGAAGAAGTCTCCTGACCTCTCTCAGAGCCCATTTCCTCATCGTCAACGGCAGATATGAAAACATGTTTCCCGGGACCCTTGTAAGGAACTTCATGGCACGGCTAAATCCCAGCGACGAATGAAAGCTTCTTCTTTCCAGGGCGCATGAAGGAACTAGTACCGATGTGTCCCGGGGAAACATCCCTAGCAGGGGCTCAAGAGCTCTTCATTTCACGTGGCGTGGGATGTCAGTCTTCCCGTTAGTCTGATGGGGGATGCCCTTCTGTGTATATGTAAACAAAGCACTGTTGGCCAACAGGGAAGCAAGACAGGTGGGACTAGGAGTCTAGGAGGATTCTGGGAAATGTAGTGAGGGGAGTCGTCGCCATGCGATCTCCCAGGAGGAAAGGACGCATTGGGAGGGCGTCCTTGGAAAGATAAGTCCTTATAAAAAATATGTATTAGTAACTATGGGTCAATAATTAAGTCAGAGCTAGCCAATGAGAAACCGCAGCAAATGGCCAACAGCGTCATAATTAATACAGTGTCTCGTGTGTTATTTCGGGGCTAAAGTGGCGACGGGACCCAGGCGGCTGGCGGGAAGACTACACGTTACACTTAGTCTGTAGACTATTTAAAATCAGGCCTCTGGGACTGGGTGTGGTGGCACCTGCCTGTAATCCCGGCACTCAGGAGGAAGCCGCAAGCACATCTGTTGTGAGTTTGAGGCCAGCCTGGTCCACATAGAGTATTCCAGGCCAACCAGGGCTATACAGTGAGACCCTGCCCATCATCCCACACATGCCATAAGATCTGGCCCTCAGTCTGTCACTCACTTGCCGACTTCTGCTCCAAGAATGGAGTCACCAGTGACTGCCAACTCTCAAGCGTCTTACACAGAACGGGGAAGCAAGGCCAGGCCTGACTACGGATGCGAGAAAACAATCTTGGGGTGTTAGTTACATACGGCTAATGCGAACAAAGAGTGTAAAATAGACATCGAGGATTGAATGCAACTTGAACTCGCCTTAAGAGAAAAAATACAGTGTCCAGTTTGTAGGAAGGGAGTTCCCGATACAATAATTCACGTGGCTCTAAGCACGTCCGTCCTGAAAACCAAGTTTCGAAAGACCAGAAGAACTTCAGTGGCTGAGTCGGAGAGAGCTGGCTCTGAGGTGAAGGGTGCTGGCTGCCCTCCCGGGACCTGGGTTCGATTCCCACACAGGGCAGTTCACAATCATCCAACGCCCCCTTCTGGTCTTCGTGGGCACCCAGCGCGCAAAGGGTACACAAAACACACCCATACGCATCTACCACTTACCTATTTATTTTTTGCTTAAATGTAGTTGCCCCCACGAGGGAAATTAAGATGTTAAAAGACAGTTATATTTTAACTAAGATTGGTTGCAAGAAGTCTGAATGCTCAGGAAGGAAAAAGTCTTATCCAGAGAGTAGACCAAGAGCCAAGTGACAATAAGTTACAAGCTGTTCAACAGATCTAGAACTTGCTTGCTCATCTCAAGTATGAACATATTGGAGCGAGAGACCCTGAGGGGACTTGTGAAGCACACTTGCTCCTGGGTGTGTCTGCCAGGGTGTTTCCAGTAAGAATTAATTACCTGGAGCGGACCATGACACAAAGGGGGAGGGGGACATTCTCCTTTTGTTTCCAGGCCACAAGAGGGAACAACTTTGACATCTGCCCCCTGTTCTGTTCTGCCACAGACCCAAATGTAATGGAGCCAGCATGGTTAGTTGTTCCAAAAACTGTGAGCCACAGGGAGCTTTCCCTCCTTTGAGTTCTAAAAGCTGAAACCCCCCAGCCCTCAGAAACAACATGAGCTCTGCCATGTGCGGAGAACATTGTATCACAGGGAACATGCTCACATGCTCGCAGGAGGCAAAGACGGCTCAGCACCCACCTCCCAAGAATGCGCTACAGACATTACTATGGCCTTGAAAAGTGTTGTCTCAGTGGCTTTAGGACGGTCCTTTTGTGTCTGCAAACTTCTGAGTATGTCAAATGAATTAGAGATAGAGAGCACATTGAAGACTCAGCTGCCCCTGATGGGTGGGCATATGTTCTCGGCAAAGACAGAGAACATCTTGTCCCTGACACATACAACCTCTTATCTAAAGCCCACGGGACAGCAAACAGGTTTCTCAACCTGCTTGGGTCCCCGTCAAAGCTGCCAATCTATAGCGATAGTGAAGGCTTTAGGAGCTGTGTTGGCTCTTAGCTAGGTCCTATGTTGGATCAACAATGAGACCCCCTCCCAGGAACCATCAGAAAGACCCCAGCCAACGGTGCACCAGACGGGTCACTTTTCACCAAAGGAGACCACAGGAAGGAAGGAGAGCAGAAAGAGGGGTGTGCAGGGAGGAAGGCAGTCACCTGCTGCCACCCAACAGCCCCTTGGCAGTTCTAAGTCACGACACACGGGATGTCCCCACCTCCCGAGCAGGGTGGTCCGGGACCAGAAGGTGCACTGCCACCCATAGAAGCAGTAAGTGTTTAGAATTAAAGGCGTGGTGTCTTACCCTTCTCGTTCATCGTCTGTGTTGTAATACACCTGTCAGGGACACAATAGGCACTTGTAAGACCAGGAATCTCAAGAAGAAGAAAGATACATTTGATTAACAATGTTCTCAACTGTCTCTCAAGAAGAAGAAAGATACATTTGATTAACAATGTTCTCAACTGTCTCTCAAGAAGAAGAAAGATACATTTGATTAACAATGTTCTCCGCCTCTCTCCCTGTCTCTCTGTGTGTGCTCTGTGTGTATGTGCCTGTGTGTGTATGTGCCTGCGTGGTCTGTGTGTGTAAGGAAATGCAGCCTCCTCACATTCTCCCTCAGGATAATGTTTAGATTTCATAAAGTCAATTCACAAACGTCACTATTTCTAGCTAAGGCCAGTCTGGTGTAACCAGATTACTCAGCCCCTCTGCCGAACGTTGCTCCTGACATTAAGTTCAGAGGTCTCAGGGCACAGACACAGAGGTGCCCTACTTTTTGTTTTTATTGAGCAATATCGTAATTAGCTCTCCTGAAGAGATGTAGTTTTCCTGAAGAGATGTAGTTTTCATCATTAAACTTGTAGCATCCGCACAACTAAACTGTCATGATGACTTAACAGTTGAACATCTGTTTAGTTTTGTTTTGTTTTGTTTTGTTTTTGGTTTTACGAGACAGGGTTTCTCTGTATTGTTTTGGAGACTGTCGGTCCAGCCTGGTCTCGAACTCACAGAGATCCGCCTGCCTCTGCCTCCCGAGTGCTGGGATTAAAGGCGTGCGCCACCACCGCCCGGCGAACATCTGTTTAGTTTTAAACCCTTCATTTCATTTGGAGATAGACGCATAGAACTTAGCTTTATGAAGGAAGATCTAACATATGTTTTTTTAATCCTTCAGGTGACAAACGATTTATACAGTCAATGAGAACTATTAATTTACTAAGGAAAAAAATTGTTGACAGCGTCTTAATTTCTCCCCGCAGGGCTTTTGATGTGGGACAACGTTATCGCTGCAGTTTTACTTTTCACCACCAGGTGGCGATGTGCGCGCCCTGATAGAGCCAGCTACATGCACGAATACACAACTTCGTCCAGGCAGCTCCTGTTGCTTTGTCAAGAGTTTTCTAACGACAGCTCACATCTGTGTTTGCCATGGTTAGGATTCTCTCCCAAGTCTTTTTTTTTTTTTTTTTTTTTTTTGGTACGGAATGATGCCGGCTTTCCTGCACCAGCTTGGGCGTGCAGGGCGACAGGAGGGTGTGAGCAGGGGCCTTACCTGCCCAGTCCTCTGCAGGTTTGCAAAGTGAACATCTGGGATGAAGAGCACGGGCTGCGAGTGCAGATCCGGCATGGTTTTGAAGTAGGTGATGTCACTCTTCTTTTGCAAAGGCAGGGCGGCCAACTTCCCGTCGGAGGAGGCTGCGTGGAAACACAAAGCCGGTGAACAGGGTTCCGCGTGGCCGAGAACCCTCAGCCGGTCTTAGCCAGAGTGCACGGTTCTCCCCGGAGCTTTCTCAGCGCCCTCGACACGACCAGGCTTCCGACGTCCTCCCCCGGGGCCCAAATAAACAGGAAGTCCCTGGGTTTCTAGGAAGCATGTGGATGGCAGGCTCCTCACTCCCCGCCGTTCGCCCTGAGTATAAGACTCCGCCTGCTTCCACATGAATGACACCCACCCCACCCACCCCACCCCACCCCACCCACCCCACCCCACCCGACCCCACCCCGTCTCCACTGCAAGGGCAAGGACGGCCTTGCCGCCTTCCCCTGCTGCCTGCTTCCTCCCCTCGGTCTTCTCAAGGGACCCAGCTGGCTGCAACCTGCCCTCAGCACAGTCTGGGGTGGGGGCCGGGGGTGACTCACAGCTGTTGCACTGCGTTTGCGAGGCCTGGCCTTTCCCTTTCTTCCGGTTCTGCTTTCTCTCTTCATCTCGGATTTTTCTTTCCGCTCCCTGGAGAGGGCAAACAGGGAGAGACCAAGAGGGATATGTTCTCAGAGCATTCAAGGATATTGGGGAGCACACACACTCTCTATCTATCTCTCTCTGTGTCTCTCTCTCTGTCTCTCACACACACACTCACACTCACCCTCTCACACACTCGTGCATGCGCACACACACGAACACACACATGCACACGCGCGCACACACTCTCACACACATTCTCTCTTACACACACTCACACTCACTCTCTCATACACGTGCGCACGTGCGCGCGCACACACGCACACTCCATGAAAATGGGAAGCTAAACAAGGAAAGGAACCAGGAGCCCTCAGCTCCCTCCTGCAGTGAGGCCCTCGGATCTACAGGCTGCCCACAGCCCAGCTTGCCTCCTCGCCCTGTCTCAGGCCTATTTCACGAACTTGAGTTTCGACTCCATGTGGAGAGAACCAGCTGGGTTTTCTAGCCCAGTGTCACGTGCTGAGTAAGCGGTGACTCTAACAGAATGGCCTAGGAGCTGGCACTCGGGGCACAGACAGCTTTCAGACGAATGAATATGGCTGCTCTGTGAACTTCAGAAATAGTCACCACAGGAAGAAATGAAGGGGCATTCTCCTCTGAGCTGTAGCCACACGAAGATGAGAGCTCACTCTGCACACCAATGCGGCCGCCCTGTGTGCTTAGAGACACTGCTCATTCTACCACACCGAAGCACGAACCCTCTCCCTTCTGCACTCCTGCTATCCGTAATTGGACTTTTTCATTGGCCAAATTCAAGGCCACATTACCAAGCCTTAACTGCTTCCCTAGCCGACCAGCCGTCCCTCATGGTGGGCATGATTCACTGCTCATCTTTCTGGTTGGCTGTTTGTCAACTTATTTTCCTCTCATGGTCCCAAGATGGAGACGCTCCTGCATGGCTTCCTCCTGCTCTCTTTCTTCAGGAGAGCTCACTGGCACCATGTGTCCACAGCGCCTTAGACAGAATTCGCTGGTGCCCTACACAGGTGACATTCGAGGGACATCCAGGTCTAAGTTTCTTCCTTAGGTCCCGGTCCTTGTTAACAATCCCTTTCCCCTGCAGTAGCTGTTTAAGGGACAGAGTCTGTCTGTTCAAGGGGCAGTGTCTGTCTGTTTAAGGGACAGTGTCTGTGTAAGGGACAGTGTTGCATAAGGGACTCAGCAACCTCCAACCTTTAGAAATGGCCTAAAACTATCACAGACAAAACAGACAGTCTTGATGATATAAAATGCACTCCCTCCCGAGCAAGCAAAACAAGGGAAGAGAGGGAGGGAGGGAGGGAGGGAGGGAGGGAGGGAGGGAGGGAGGGAGGGAGGGAAGAAACGAACAAAGGTTAAAAGTCAAAGCCAAATGCTGAACATACTTGGAATAAAATATTACATAAACTGGGAGGCAGTGGCCTACACCCTTAATCCCAGCACACGGGAGGCAGAGGCAGGCAGATCTCTGTGAGTTCGAGTCCAGCCTGGTCTACAGAGCAAGTTCCAGGACAGACAGCTCTGAGCTCTCCAGGAGTTGACTTTTCCCTCACCAGCTTCCCTCAGAACACGGTTTCTCCCTGGAACAGAGGTAACTTCTCATGGAAAACAACACGGCAACATTCGGGCTATTTGCACACACCCCTCAGCTCGGGCCTGCAGAATGTGCATTGCCGGGTCATCCCACACTTCCCTGCAGTGAGCGCCTTGGACAATCTCTCTCTCTCGTAAAGCAGCTCCATTATTCTCCCTCTAAGAAGCTGGTATCACACGGGTCTTCAAATGATCCATGCTACACTTACAGCTGTGACGATCTCTTGTAGAGAGTTTACATTTTGCTACTGTAACTATTCTGTTTCCTTTAGAGTAGGAGTCCTGGAGATGAGAGCAGTGTGCACTGAGTGTGTAAGAACCCATGAACTTAACTTCATAGGTGTGATTTCTCTTTCCCAAAGCTGTAGGTGAGGCCCCAAGCAACCCCTAAAGTGTCAGGATTACATCGATGCATTCTACCATAGTATCTACACCCTCTGAATGTTCTAGATCTGTCATTTCAGCTGCGTATTCTGACCAAGGCACAGCAAACTACCAACTAAATGTGAGCTCCCCTAGTTCCAGACCAGAGAGTTCATGTCTGAAGTGAAGCCTTTAACACTGGTGACGTCATGAGGCTGATCCCTGATGACTCCTGTGTCCTTATGAGACATAAAGCACAGGAGAGCTCTCATCTCTCTGTCCCATGTGAGGAGGAGGTAAAAGGGAAATGACCCTCAGTCTTGGGCCTCAAACCCCCAGAACCTGTCAAGAGGAAGCTCCCCTTGTTCACTCCACCTAGCCTGTGGTGTTTTGTTTTAGCGACCTGAGGACTGAGCCGTAGGGCAACGCTAGTCATTAAATGAACAGTAAGGATGACAGGCTGAGAACAGCAGCCAAAACCAAGTGCAGTGGGCACGGGTGACTCCTTACGTATCTAGCAGGGCTTGAGGATGAGAGACTCCCACTGCCGTGAGATCAGGAAATGGTTCAGGTGACTCCTTACATATCTAGCAGGGCTTGAGGATGAGAGACCCCCACTGCCGTGAGATCGGGAAATGGTTCTTTGCACACGGCTAGGCGAGAAACAGTGACAAGGGAGGAACGCCGTTAAAGGCAGCAGCTAGTCCTAAGGGCAGTTGCCTTCCTGACAAACCGCTGTCCTTGCTTACCTTGTCACAGAAGACCTTGATTTGGCAGTATGCTCTGTGGATGGGTTTATTGCTGCGGTTGTTATAACTGTATGTGTCGATCTGAATCATCAAGGGAAGCCCTTTCACGCCCTTTTGGGAGGAGAAATCTGTGCTCAGGCAATTCACGGTGATGAAAATCTGGAAGGAGACAAAGAGGAAAGTTCACAAACCGCCGCGCAGCGGATCTCCGGGGCGAGGCCAGCAGCCATGTGAATCTGAGTCCTACACGGACCTATCAGGACAGATGACAGACAGCCATTACTTTCCCATAGAAACTTGCTGAACGCACAGACGTATGTACTATATGGCTGCAAACTTCTTTATTTCAAGACAGGTCTTCTCTGTGTAGCCCTGGCTGTCCTGGAACTCACTCTGTAGACCAGGCTGGCCTTCAACTCAGAGATCTGCCTGCCTCTGCCTCCCGAGTGCTGGGATTCAAGGTGTGTCCCAACATATCCTAGCAAGAAAAGTAATCTTAAAAATTAAAAATAAAAAGAAGCCAAGCCAGGTGGTGGCATACGCCTTTAATTCCAACACTCAGGAAGCAGAGGCAGGCGGATCTCTGAGTTTAAGGACAGCTGTGCCTACAGAGTGAGTTCCAGGACAGCCAGGGTCACAAAGAGAAACCCTGAATCAATAGATAGATACATAGATAGATAGATAGATAGATAGATAGATAGACAGACAGACTATAAACTCCTAAACAATTTGCTTTCATATTTGACTTTGAAAGACAATCCAAATAGCCTTCTAGAGAGTACACCAGCAAAGCGTTATTCGCTTAACCATAAATGAGTTAAATAAAACATTGTTTTCACAGTATGTCAAAATTGTCACTTCTGGAGCTGGAGAGATGGCTCAGCAGTTAAGAGCACTTGCTGCTGTTGCAGAGGACTGGTGTTCGGTTCCCAAGACCCACGTGGTGGCTCACAATTGTTGTAACTCCAGGCCTAGGGGATCTGACGTCATCTTCTAGTCTCTTGTTAGCCAAGGTGGTGGCACACACCTGTAAACCCAGTCTCCTGCACAAACATGGTAAGCACACATGTACTCAAGCGCACACACATAGAGTAAACCATTAATTTTAAAAAGTTGTCACATCTAACCAGGTGGTGGTGGCACATGCCTTTAATCTCAGCACTCGGAAGGTAGAGATGTCTGTGAGTTTGAGGCCAGCCTGTAGAGTGAGTGCCAGGACAGGCTCCAAAGCTACAGAGAAACACTGTCTCGAAAAGCTAGAGAAAGAAAAGTTGTCACTTCAAATAGTATAACTTTCCCTAGGCTCTGACCTGCAAGATAAAAAAAATTAAAAGATTAAATTAGAAAAAAAATCTTTTCAATCCAACAGCGTTGAAAACTGGTTCTGTTTATATAAAACTTTCTTCCTTGACTGTCAAGTATAGGGTCTGGAATAATTTCCTATCATTTAATTTTTACTGGCACCTAAGACAATGCCTAGCAAGGAATAGACACCCACTAAGTACTAGATGCACGACTTAACTCGCAGGAAGCCCAGTAGATTGAGAGTCAAAAGCCATGACTTCAGCCCCTTCTCTAGGATTAGAACACTAAGGGACCTTAGACAGTCACTCCACATTTTCAATTTTCAATGTTCCCTTTAAAGCATCCGTGAGCCCCCTCCCTGCAGAAGAAAACCTAAATACTATAAATACTAATTTGTTCTGTGTGCGCGGTAAAGTACAGGATTGGCAAAGGCAAGAAATGAAGAGGGCACTAAGTGGAGTGACAGCATCTTCAGCCACCTCCAGTTGGTAGAGAGAGAGACAGAGACAGAGAGGGAGAGAGAGAGACAGAGAAGGAGGAGGGAGGGAGGGAGGGAGAGAACGAAAAATGAAATCTCTGCTCATAGCTTGTAGGAATTACAATAGAAAAACTTTTTAAAACCTTCAAACAAACAAACAAAAAACATACAATAGAAATGACAGGAGCCCTGCTGAGCAAAAGCTCTAGCCAGTCTTTTGCTCTGTTTAACAAATAAAAACAAGTTTCGTCATAAAGAATTGGTAGAGATAGCGGGTGGGTGTAAATGATGAGCTAACTAGGCTAAAATGACCCTTGTTCTACACAAATATGGGTCACAGTCAAAAGAGGTGGCATTTGTCATAATTTGGATCTACAGTTCCCCCAGAGACTCTGGTGAGTGCTATTTGAGGCTGGGTAACCTAGGAGGTGGCCCAACTAATTCTCTGTGCCTTTGAAGATGATAGCCAGCCCCTGGTTGTTGGCACACTCTCTGCCTCCCGGGCCACCTTGATGTGACCAGTCTCTGCCACGATGCCTCCCATCCACGATGGACAGAAGCCTTCTGAAGCTCAGAGAAGAGAGAGAAACAAAACAACTCTCTTCCGGCAAGCTGTTCCCCGTCAGGGGCTCTGGTCACAGTGACACAAAAGGAACTGACTGACACGTCATTTGAAGATGATTCTCAGCCAGGGCTACACAGATACACAGAGAAACCCTGTCTCGGGAAAGGAAAACAAAAACAAAACAAACAACAAAACCCACGGTGATTCTCATGAGTAAAAAAAAACACTGAAGTCACTTGGGAAACCAGGACATGTGTTATTACGTATAAGACAACTTTTCATAAGCTTTGTCCCCTGGGCTTCGGTCAAAACCTGGACCTTTGTGCCCCTGTGAGGGTGCCTAGGGCTGCCCTGCGGGACAGCAAAGACCTTAGGTTTCTGCCTATGCGTCACTCAGCTGTTTTAAACCCCCACAGTCCTGGGTAATTTACACCACCAGGCATCTAATTTCCAGGGCTTTGTCACTTTACACTCCTATCTTTTTGTCTGTGACCTCCTCCCCTTCTAATCTTAGGAGCCTCAGCAAAGCGCCAGGACAGTTGACAGCTTTCAATGATGTGCTAATTACAACAACTTAGTCTGCTGTGCCACAGGCTCCCGCCTTTGCAGCCACCAGCCTGAGAAAACCAACACTCTGGGACTTTTTCTGTCTTGGGAGACATTGGATGTGTGTTTAAGAACTGAATTTGGCGGGGTGGGGGGGGGGGGGGGCTGAAGAGATGGCTCAGAGGTTAGGAGCACTGGCTGTTCCTTCAGAGGTCCCAGCAACCACTTAGTGGCTCACAACCGTCTGTAATGAGACTGGCGCCCTCTTCTGGAGTGGAGGGATACACGCAGACAGAACACTGTATACATAATAAATAAATCTTATTAAAACAAATTTTTCCCCGTTTCTTTGGTTTGGAGACAAAGGGTCCTCCTCTGTAGCCCAAGGTCACCTGGAAGGAGGGGCTTGCTGTTTAGACCAGGCTGGTGTTAAATGTGGTGATCCTCCTGATACAGCCTCTCTAGAGCTGGAATGACAACCACCACGCTCAACAAGAATGAATAAATATTAGCTCCTTTACACACAAACGCAGGCATACACAAAAGCGCCCATGCACACAGACAGACAGACAGACACACACACACACACACACACTCACACAAAGGGAAAGGGTAACTATGTAAGGTTAATACATAAATGTTCATTTCCTTACCTTATTCTTTCTATGGACCCTGAAATATCTCATCGTATTATCTTAAATATACAAAAAATTATATATATATATCATTTCACTCATTTATTCTTTTCATTCTATAAGAATTCGTGGAAGCACACAATGGAACAGTGTTGGACAAATTGGAAATGGACACACACACACACACACACACACAAAGAAAAAGAAAAAGAAATAGAGACAGAAGCCAAGGCTACCTCACTGAGGTAACAATTCAGGGTGGAGGAGGAATGTTAACAAGTACTCGGCAATGACCATCACCCAGTGGTCCAAGAGAGGTGTGAACAGAGGCCCCAGGCACACAGGACCAAGTCCGTAGTGAGGAGGATGCTAGTTACGGCTTGAGAGGAGCCTCACCAAGTCTAAGGGATGGGGATGGGTGGGGGTGGGAGGGGATGAGATCAACTGAACACCCAAACATCTGAGAGGCGGGGGCTCCTAAGAAAGACTTCGGGGCAGACAGGACGCTTCCAGAGCAGAAGCACGCTGTCCCCAACAGTCAGAGTAACAGAAAACGCTACCTCCAGCCTTGGAGAGACCCTAAACGGCAGGGAGATTTTTAATCTGACACTCACTCGGGCAGCAAGTGTCTTCAGATGTCCTAGGCGTCCCAAGGCTGGCCTATCACAGGCACATAAGCTACGGGCCCTGCAACCAAGGAGGGCAGGGGTGAGTCGGGGTGAGAGAGAGTGTGCTGGAGGTGCCTTGGAGATTACAATGGCTTCATTGACCGTTGATGTGCAGTCAGGGACACTTGACTTCTTTTATTGCTGGCAACACGGGCGGTCTTGGCCAGAATGCGGTTTTGTGTCAGCAAATCAAATGTTCGCTCTGCTGAACTGTGTGGCCATCCCTGATTCTGGCCACGTGTTCCACAGAGATCTTCCTGGTGGCAGCTGTTTATCCTGGACACCTCAATCCTGACTGGTTATTTTTTTTATTAACCCCACTTCATCAAAAAGTCTCCCTATAGAAGAGAAGCTGATGCTCTGGTGGGTATTGCCTGCATGATAGGGCTTCATTCATGCCCATGGTTCACTACGGGTCTATATGATGGGTCCAAAGAGATGCTATTATGACCTGTCGGTTCCAAGCCTAAGAGAGCTAGAGCAATAGATCATGACTGTTTACAAGGACCACTTAAGTAGCCTGGTCATCTACAGCCAATGAGATGCTCACTGGCAATAGACTACAATAAACAGACTCAACCGTCCTTGGAGCAGCTATAAAAATCAGTCACCCAGACACAAGGCCCTTAAAAGCCAATTGAGTTCCGTGGGGAGACATTTAGACTCAGTGCTCTTAAAATAGAAAAGGATCTCCTCAGAAGGCCCAGCGTGGCTCAGATTCGAGGCATCCTGATCCCATAAAAGGTAAAGCGCAGGAGTTTGCCTTCTGGGTAGCCATGCGCCGGCATCTCCCGGGTCAACGGAGCAGGCAGGGTGCAACTCTCCTCCGCTCAGCACCGTTTCCCTCGCCTGCCAAGGAACCCTTGGAAAGCTGCTGGCCATGCCTGGTGGCATCCATCTTAGCTCAGCTGTGCCACACTCAAAATCCAAGTGGTTGAACTTTAACCGAAGCGGGGGCGGGG